AGAATTTTCAACTGCCTCTTCCTGATATTAAGTAAAATTTTCCTTTTTGTTTCTCCAAAACCTTGTCGGTGCTCACATTTTGGGCCCATGGCATCCTCTACAGTGTCTATATTTTCTTTACATTGAAAATATCCTATTGAGAAGATGAGCATCTCTATACAGTGTACTTTTTAATCTCTTGTGAACAGAGGCTACTAGGGATTTTGTTAACATGTTTGTCCGTACCTTTTTCATCTTACTCAAGTCTCCACTTATTATAAGGTATAACTATAGTTTTAAAGTGGCACACTATTTAATTTTAAATTTTAATTATTATTAGTAGTAGTAATATTAGTAGTACTACTACTATTTCATACCTTCATATATTTATACCAGATGTTTCATGATTATCCCTTGATATTGAGTGCCTGGCTAAATGCCATAATCTAAACGGTCTTATTATTTCGCCGATTTTTCAATCGATCCAATCTCGATTTCATGTTTTTGACACAGTTCCATTTGCATCACGTATTATTTGTACGGATAGCGTTTCACACTCGTAGTTCTAGACGGCTTTCACAGGAGATCAAGTGAAAGCAAGTCTCTTCAATAATCCAACACTGTCCTCAGTATTCCTGGTGATTCTTAGTAATTCAGTTATCAAAGTATTTTGTATTCTTCTAGGATTTAGATTTCTACCAGTCTATCTACAAAACTTAATAATTCAAAATTGATTCGCCTATCGTCGGGTTCATACTGCCTCGCCGGTCCTTCGAGCAGAAGAGGAGGTTTATATCTTGTTTCCTGTTTAGGATCCTGTTTAAGATCGGGTTTCCGGTTCATTCTAAAATATTTTCATTGTCTTTCACTCCCAGTTGAGCCTTGTGTCTTAGTGGCATTATCGCCTTGCTTGGGGCGAACTGATTAAGAAAAATTACAGGCACAGTTCTAAGGCAAGATCATATATATATATATATATATATATATATATATATATATATATATATATATATATATATATATATATATATATATATAGTTTCACTGCCTTGTCTCCTGGATTAACTACATTTGTTTCTGCAAGCAAATGCTAAGATTACCATGGACAGAGCATATGACAAAAATAATTGAATTCTAAGGAGAATAGGAACTACGAACATACTTTTAATAAAAATTAGAAAAGGGGGCAGCTGAAATTCTTGCGAAACATAAGAAAGAAAGAAGACTTGAAGAATGAAAGAAAATCCCCGGTCTTTTGACCAGGAATAGAAGTGTATCCTTTGTTTCCTTTTACGATTGGGTTTCCTTTTCCTTCTAAAGTCTACTTCAACTCTATATTCTCACGTCTCAACCTAATCTTTGAAATATTTTTACTTTTTTTTTCTCAATAGGAGGAGATAGGTTGGCCTATCACCAGTTTCACGCTCCTCCCTCGTCTTTTGCCTGTTTAGGATTGGGTATCCGATTCCTTTTAAAGTCTTTTTATTCTTTTTCACTCGTAGGATCTCCTTGCATCTTAGTGGCATTATCACCTGGTTTGGGGAGAACTGATTAAATAAAAGAGAAACAAAGAAAATGGGGTAATTCGTTGACAATTTTGCTCAGAGACATAATGGAGAATGTGTTGCTAATAAGTACAATAAATTTTAAACTGTGAAGAGCCTTGAATGCCACATCCTGAAGTGACATAGAGTGAGAGACAGACAGACAGACAGACAGACAGACTGTGAGATAAATCGTCTGTCAGTTTTTATTCTTGCTTTTTACAATATAATCTCTGTTGTTTCTTTATATTTCCTGGCTTGTCAATTTTACCTGGTACAACCACTTGTTGGTATCAGTTCTCAATATAGACAACATTTTTTTTAATTGCCATAACATCAGAAACAAAGAATATATATATTCTTCTATATGGTAGCAAAGCCGGGAAATTTTGTTAAATTTTTTTAAAAGTCTTGAGGCAACGTAGATGTGTTTTTAGGTACAAAAGTTTTAAATACCGTAGGCAAAATATGCAACAAATGAGGAATTACAAATGAGAATAGGAAATTGAAAAAAAATAAATCTGACAACAATTAGAGATAAGCTGAAATTCTTGGGAATCATAATGAGAAAAGATGGCTTCGAAAATTTGACATTTACCTGAGACATTGAAGACAAGAAAAGTAATGAGTAATCTAATTGACAAATGCGTGCAGAAAAACAAAGGAGTCATAAAGGAGAAAGCATTGCTAAATGCAACAATAAATGTGAAGATTATGGAGGGCCATTATCACCGCCTATTGAAGGGACATGTCCCATATGCGAGCATCTGGTGACTTTCTTCCAGGTTCTTCTAGAATGGGCGTTAAGATTCTTGCAAATAGTTCCGTCAAAATTCAAAATATGACACAAGGTCGTTTCGCGCAAGATTGAACAACAATTCCTGGAACTTGGGGTATTTGTTGCAAGCATCAATATGTGAGCCAAACATTATCCGTCCTAGGCGATGAAATGTGCAATTTAGGCGACAATATCCGGTAACGGATACTCTGGTATTTTTCCCATCAGATGCGCAAAACAGTGACGATGACATTTTCAATTATGGAAACCCAAGTTTGCTAAATATCTACATAGTATAGACTTCTTTTTCGAGCGGGTTACTTAAGAGGCTATTAATCAGATTTATGTATGCAACTTTACACAGCTTACCTACCTTACCGTATCTTCACCTTACGCAGCTTATCTATGTTTTAATGTCATTCAAAAGCTGAAATCTTATTAGTTTTCTACCTGCTTGTTATTATTTACACTATTATTTATTATATAATTATTTAGTTATTATTATTATTTATTATTATTATTCATATAATTATTTAATTGTTATTATTATGTATTTCTTCTTATTATTATTATTTACATCAGAAATATCTATTTACATCATAAAGTGCATATACCTTCAGTTGAAAATAAAATAAATCAATGTCAAAATAAGTTGAATCTATATTATATATTTATTGAATCTATATTATATATTTATTGAATAATCAGCAAATCATTTATTTTTTTAACATATCAATTGAAAATTGGCTTTCATTTTGAGTAGAAAAAGATAACAAATTTATGATGGAAAAGTTCCTATCTATCTATTCGGGATAAACTATGTTAAGTGAATTCCAAAGATAATATTTAACTTAAAATACATATATGGCATTTTGTTCCAGCAACTTTCACTATTTTTAAGGCAGCTTCAAGATTCCATCAAAGCAGAACTTGGCACCTGTACCGGATCTACGAAAATGTATGAATCCTACGAAGATGTATGAATCCTAGCATTGTTCTGATAGAAGGAGACGTCCTTCCGATTGGTCAATTTCGGATGCTTTTCAGCGATTGCTGCTTTTATAATTGGTCCACTTCGAAACAATACTTGTCTGAATTCAACGCCTGATTTTGAGAAAGGAACCTATGATGCACAATAATCTTCCAATCCCAGCAGATACATTCGAGTGCAAATGGGTGCAAATGGGTGTAAAAGTTATTTCTCTCCAGGACTCTCTTCGCTTCACATTGTTGTAAGCAATCTATTTTTCATCGTTTGTGATCGTTCTTTTCAAAAGTGTTTCTTTTTATTATTGCGTTTAAACAGAGAATCACATATAGAAATGCGGTACATTAATTTTTTCTGTGAAGGATACTTATTTTAATTTTAGTGATTAACATAGTATCCATCTTTTTACAATTCTCATCTATGATATGTGGAGTAGCTCTGCGATGTCCCATGTAGTGTGACGTGGATTATTTTTACTAAGCTTTTGATTTGGTCATCACCAATAACTGCAGGCCTATGGGAAAGTTTTGGATCTTCCAGATCAAAATTGCTACTTCTTAATATAGAGAACGACTTACGAACAATACTCTCAGCTATGGCACCATTTCCATAAACGGCACATAACATTTTGCAGTTTGTATAGAGTTATTTACTTTTCAGCAATAAGAGAGCATCAAACGATAAAATGCATCACATTTTCCTACATCTTAACATTTATTGAAAATCATTTAAAATTCACAATCCAGTCACGAATCGTATGCAAAGACGCGTTCAAATCTCACATCTAGACATGATATATATTATATATAAATTTCAGTCACGTGTTCAAAGGCTGCCTTCTTCAATACTTTTCTCAAGCGACTAATAGCGTTCTGTATTTATTTTTCTGTAAGTTGTTAAATATGGATTGTAAGAAATTATTCTTGGATACACATACGCCCAACACTTATAACAGCCTCCACATAGAAGGGAGATTCATATTCATTGTGATGAGGTTTATGGCGAATATCTCTCTTTTTACAGGGTGAATTTACTAAAGTCCTCGACGGCCGTGGTTGCCATAGTCATTCCCTGATTAGCTCCCGATTGAGACAGATGCGTTAGCCAGTTCCTGCGAAGAAGACAGAAATGGTAGCCGGTGGCGACTCAGCTAACGAGTGAATAATTGCGTCCTAAATAAAGAACATAAAAGCTGGCCGCATCTCATCTAGAAACAGTACAAGGCTTTCTTTACATTTGTTTATTTCATAGGTATTTTTTGTTTTACTACTTCACTATATAAAAAAAACCATAAATGTAATTCAATTTGTGCTTTCTCAACTACAGAAGTGAATATATTCACGGGTATAAAATAGTTGTTATAAAATAACATGATTCACTATGCCAAAGTAATATGTTCTTTTGACGAACAGCTTCAAATTTTAGTTGTGTAAAAATACCTGGATGTAGCCAACAGAATCTTGTCTACCACTGAAAACACCCTGTTCTTTATAATGACTGAAACGGTCGAAAATAATTAATCAAAACAAAGAAAACATAAACTTCACAGTTTATCCACAAATTCGATCCCGATATAGATCTTATTCGAAAACTGGAAAAATGCAATAAAATTTTAAAGAGACCTTATCAGTAGAATCATGTTTGGATGAAAACATGACACACACACACACACACACACACACACACATATATATATATATATATATATATATATATATATATATATATATATACAGGGTGACCCAAAATAATGTATACAGTATTTGAATCGTTATTCAATTTATGTATTTTGACTTGTAAATAAGCTTAATACAAGAGAAAGAATACACATTTAAAGAATTTAAGAGCAAAATATACAAAAAACATAGAAAATTAACTTTAATAAGATAAAAGCTACTTGGGGCAATGACAGAATGTTCATATAATGATGAGTTCACATCAAGTGCTCAAACTGGTTGCTGTTCTGTTCAATACCCTTTTCAGATCTTGAAGAAATAGACCTACAAACATCCAGTATCATTTCCTTTGGTATTTTAGCACATTCCTCTTCAGTTGCTACTATCATTTCAGCAATTGTTTCAGGTTTCCTGCTGTAAACTTTGTCTTTTAGAAAACACCACAAAAAGAAATCCAAGGGTGGCAAATCTGGTGATCTAGGGGGGTATTCAACTGTTCCTCTTCTTCCAATCCATCTGTTTTGCATATTTTCACCCATATAAGTTCTCGCATCACAGTAATTGTATTATTGACTATTAATATTTAAAGAGTGTATACATCATTTATATATATATATAACGTTTATTAAGTTTGGCTTGTAGTGTATATATATTTCTAAAGGATTAATGGATTTATTTTTAACCTGACATTTTTATTAATTTAAACGTTAATTGTCTATATCTCTTCGATTAGGTATTATTATGATTTACATTATTCGGACTGTTATTTTCAACTTCATTAGCATATTCACAACTTTTCGGCCGCTGCACACTCTGGTCTTCTTCTGGTGACTGGAATTTCGGATGTCCCAGTTATTTCCCTTAGCCCTTTCACAACTGCTGTTATTGAACTGACAACTCTTTGGGTCCACTCACGGGATCTACCCAATGCATTTATCCACTGGGCCATGTGTCCTCGAGGACGAAACGTTGTGAATATGGCAATGTAGATGATGATAACAGTCCGAATAATGCAAATAATTTAAATATTCAAACGTTATTATAATGAATGCGTTGTATTTAAAATAGACGCCTTATGTTTAATAATTAAACAGGGTGTTATAAAAAAAAATAGAGCTTATATTTCAAATGCTAAGTATCCACTATAACGTTTGAAATAATAAAAATGTTGAATTAAAAATAAACCTATTAATTCTTTAGAAATATGTATATACCATAGGCCAAATGGATTTAATAATTAGTACGTTTCAGGAATTCTTTAGTTTAATTTAACCCTACAACCACTACTAAACTAGGATGCAGAAACTATTTAACACATAAATGCATGGAGTCTAATTCTTTAGAGAGAGGTTTACCTAAAATTTAAAATGCGCATGCCGTAAGCTTCTTAAGATTACCACTAACCAGCAAGGTAGCTTAACAGAAAAAAAAACTAAATTTTCAAAGAAACATTTAGCAGTAATTTTTTGATTATTATATTATATATATATATATATATATATATATATATATATATATATATATATATATATATGATAAAACGCTTCAAAAAAAAAAAAGTCCATTTTGCTACTAAATTAGTTTTGATAAAGACACGCAAACTTCAATTTTAGAATGATTTTTTTTTAATTTTTTGGTATATATATATATATATATATATATATATATATATATATATATATATATATATACTAGTGTACCGGTGCTGTCAAAATTACGACAAGAAAGAATGTATTATAAGTAATATGTATTATATTGTAAGTAATTTTCGTTTAATCCAAGTATAATTTTGTAATTTAAAATGGTCCGTTGGTAACGTTAATAATTGAACAGTGTACAATTTATAAACGCCCAAGGAAAGATATCCGTATTTTATCCTCATGAAATTACATATTTACAAACAAAATTATGTTTACTGCGAAAGTTCCGAGAGCACAATATTTTTGTGTAAACTTTGGAAGGTCAGTGTAATCCTTGAGAGTCCGTAGATTCAAACTGTAATTTCAGAGTCTTCTTATTTCTCGTCCTACTAAGAGCAACGTATCATCAGATATATTTTTTTTAATTTATTTTTTATTCCCTACACCCTGTTCTTATTATAATTTTTAAAGTTTAAAATGAATTTCTAAAGGTAAACAAAGTGTTTTTGAAGATATATCTAGCGTATTATATATACTAACCCTCTTCGATAGAGATACCATTACGCGTCAATGGGACCAAGTTAGCACGGCACCGGATTGGTCATCGTTATTTTGCACACTGCCTATCAACTGTTACACACAAAAAATGTAAATGTCTATATATAAAGGGTGTTTCATTAAAACGGATCAAAGTCAGCAGTACATAAATCATTGTTATTCGTGAAAATTTATTTATTTCTCTATTGGATCATGTTATTTAAGTCATGGCAATTATGTGTGAAAAATAATATCACCCAAATGTCTGCCAAGGCTTCGGCGGCACACCTCCACTCGAGGGTCATAATTTTTGATGATGTCTCCGCATAGTTACTTCTCGATCTCACCAATATGCCTTATTATCTCATCCTTCAGCTGTTGAATTGTTGTTGGCTTGTTGGCATTGACGTTACTTTTGAGATAACCCCAAAGGAAGAAATCTAAAGGCGTCAAATCGCACGATCGTGGTACCCAATTGATTTCGCTGTTTCGAGAGATGATGCGACCTGGAAACTTCTCATTGCATTTCTGTTTGAACGTCCATTTTCGTAAAAGGCGTTGATAACTTTAATACGTTGTTTGATTGTTAATCTTTCCATGGTTAAAATTACCAAAGACTTAAGTTGTTAAATCTGAAAGAAAAAGAAATAATTCATTAGACGCTTAAAATTACCTCACATTTAAAATCGGGCCTAGTCATTGGAAAATCCTTTATATGTGGCGTATTATATATATATTTGCTTACATATATATATATATATATGTGTGTGTGTGTGTGTGTGCGTGTGTGTGTGTGTGTGTGCGTGTGTGAATGCGCTTGAGTCCGTGTTTACGCACGCGATGGGTCTGTATTTCTGTAATAACATTTGCATTGCCCAAATGTCTTAGAGTATTAGTGACGTAATATTACATTCGTGTATATATGCGATTTTAATCTCTTGTGGCTTTTTAGACCTCTGCAAATATGTTATTATTAATGAAATATGATAACGTTTTATTGATTAATCAAAAGGGATGGTATTGTTTAAAAATAAAAATAAGCGATTAAAATCAAAAAACGCTTTGATAGAAATTATAAAAACCTCAATAATATTGGCTTCAGCAGTACTTTTGTATTTTTCTGTCTGTATTAATTAATATTCAAACATTAACACCCAGTGACCCACCCACATTTTTCGAATCTTGTTTTGCTTAAAAAAAAAATTGAAGGTGACCTTGTCAGCTAGTAAAACCGAAGTACAAAACTGTATTGTCCGATCCAGCAAAGAAGTACCAGGTGACCCTGAAAATACCAGTTGTCCGTTCCCCGTCCTTCAGCGTCAGGTCGGTCGGCAGACCGGCCGTCTGTCCGGCCAACCAGCTGCTAAGCCCGGCCCAGCCAACTCGACGACAATCCATGCCGGATACCCCGGCGTTTTTCCCCACATCAGCAGCGGTTCAATAGAAACTAATCAAAGATGTAAGCTGAATAATGAAATTGGCTTCAATCAGCACAATCCGCTGATTCTCTAAGTCCATCATAAACACCAGCAACCCCCCCACCCAAGCCGTTTCATTCAGTTTTACTCGTTCAGGATTCACCTCCCTCCCAACCACGACCCGACGTCACCAGAAGTTCTCTTTCCCGTTTTTTTTTTTTTTCCGCCTACAGGTTTCAGGTTTCAGCGCCCGTAAACTACTACCTTCGCATTTTTCTCCAACGTGGAAGATTAACATATTATGGTTGAATATTTGCATCAAATATCTGATCGTCAGAGATGCAGCCCACCGAAGTTAAGCAACGTCGGACCCAGCATTTATATTTATCATTTTACCCGAAGCATGGCAATAAAGTCACTAAGACGCAAGAGGTTTCTGAATATGAGAGAATACGAGAAAAAGAAAACATTATTAAGGAGAGAGAACAATAAAAGAACTGAAATTGTAAAAGGCAGAAGATAACAGCTAACATTACACTTAGAGCTTTGAAGATCAAAGTTGACAGGAAAGCAAGAATCTGGAAGAGACTTTCACAAACGAGTAGTGTTAGGAAAGAAACTGTTATTATAGACCTTACCTGATCCTTATAGATAGAGATATACATATTTATTTGAAATTAAACAGCGTCGAGCTTGAATATATACTTCAGATATATGATCGTTATAAAGGGTGTTCAAATAGCTTGGACCGATTTTAAATATGAATTAAGTTTAAGCGTCTAATGATTTTTTTTTCTTTCAGATGTTAAATCTGAAAGAAAAAAAAATCATTAGACGATTGGAAATTCCAACCATGAAAAGCTTAACAATCAAACAACGTGTTAAAACGTGTTATGTTAGACAACGTGTTATCGCTAGACAACGTGTTATCGAAGACTATTGCGAAAATGGACGTTCAAACAGAAATGCAATGAGAAGTTCCCAGGTCGCATCATCTCTCGAAACAGCGAAGTCAATTGGCCAGCACGAGCGTGCGGCTTGACGCCTTTAGATTTTTTTTCCTTTGGGATCATCTCAAAAGTAAGGTTTATGCCCGGGGTGGCCAACCTTTTGATTCCATGCGCCAATATTTTGTACGATTAATTTAAATGCGCCACACAAACATTCACTTCCTTTCAGTACGTGTTGTAATATGGACATATTTTAAAGGTATAATACAATTTATTTATTTGAAAAATATATGCTTATGACCAGGGGCGTATCCAGGAGTTTTGAAGGGGGGTGCATAAATAAATGCTTTGACTTTTTTTTCTCTTCAGATTTTGCAGAGGGGAGGGTGCATGACAGAGTTTATAATGCTTACATCGGCAAAATAAACATAAATAACTTTAATGTGTCTTTTGATTCTGCTTTGTTTTTGACAAACCAGCAATATTAGGAATTAAATTCGTAACTGAAAGCAACAAACAGTTCTTCAAGTTCGAATCGGACAGTCGCGACCTTTTCATCAAAAGGATGCAATGCGCCACTTGTAAACATTCAATGCGCCACTTATGGCGCATGCGCCACAGGTTGGCCATCTTTGGTCTATGTTAACAAGCCAACAACAATTCAACAACTGAAGGATGAGATAATAATGCATATTGGTAAGATCGAGGAGCAACTATGCAGAAAAGTCATCAAAAATTTTGATTATCCAGTGGAGGTGGCGAATATTTGGGTGATATTATTTTTCACACATAATTGCCATGACTTAAACAACATGACCCAATAGAGAAATAAATAAATTTTCACTAATAACACTGATTTATTTACTGCTGACTTTGATCCATCTTGAAACAGTTTATAGATGGAAATTTATGGTTCAATAAAGCGAAGATCCCAAATTCATAATGAAAATGAAGGTCAGTGAACCATTTAATTAATCTATTCTCTTAGTACAAGGTTTCTTAGACTTCAATCTTATTTGTTCAAGCCTTTACTGCGACGCTCTCAGATATAGTGATTACCTTGCTTCAGTTTGCTTTGTCGCCGCCATCGTTGTCGCAAAAGATTAGCAACCGTTTGATTGCTAATCTTTTGCTTTCGAGAGGTGTTTCCATTTCTAGCTACTGCTATATTAAAGGAGAAAAATATAAATATTTCTCAACAAATTAAATGTATCTCCTATCTATATTATGTGCATAATCCTCTAAAGGCTGCTGGAAAAGTTCAATTTAGAATTAACATTAATAAATATTTTTGGTTAAAAGGTCAAAAGAAATTCTACAATTATGAGTATTATCTAAAAACTGAAGGCGTGGCACAAAAGACATTCGTCCTGTGTATGACGATAAACTCCATCCAGCAGCAAGACCTCTGATTAGGAGGTTTTGAGGAGTGTGTAACCAACTCTTAATTGTTGTTGTTCCAAGGTCCACCCTGATCCGGGGTGGTAGCTACTGTTAGGGCCTCAACTATCGACAAATAGTTAATCCCTAAACTGGTCAAAACAGTATGAAAATATAAAAATACATGTTCATAGTAAAAATACCAGCAATAAATTTTCATATAAAAAAATTTAGCAGCAATATATTTTTGTAAATAAACAAAAAATATTACCAGCAATACATTTTTGGAAAAGAGATTATTAAATTTCGACATTAAATGACCCATAGGGAGTTGATATGCTGCTAAACAAACAAGGAAAAATAGCAAACAAAAGACATAAGTATATTTAAATAGAGTACCTATGCCAACAAAAATGAACTCTGTTTTACAATAGTCTGTGATATATCTCTTTCTTATAATATACTTATATATGATAGAATAGATATTATAGAGCTGATTACATACTTTGCGTCATATATGATACACACCAGTCATTAAAGTGTTTATAATATAATTGTGCCATATAATGATACAGCAGGCATAAAACTTTAAAGGCAGTATCGCCAGTTTATAGTCCTTTAATGAAAAGAAATATCTTTTATGTTATTGAAGAGATTATAATCATTATTAATTTTCTACTATTTAATTACATAGTGCCTGATACGAAAGATGTAAATAAATAAATAAAATACACAACGACAATTATATATATATAAAACTGTCAAACTGACCAGAGAATTCAGAGCAGCATGTATATCCAGCTCTTATCTCAAATAACAACTTAAAAGAATGTTTGACCAACACAAGGATTGTTAAAAGATTCATGTTAAAAAGATTAAAAAAAATAAAAAAACAAATGAAAACTACAGACAAAAGTTCATTTTCTCCAGCAAAAGATACATTTCTGTAGTTTACTGCTACCAGCAAGCAGAAATATTTCTCCTCCTGATGATAGCCATGTTGGTCGAAACTAGTCGAGGAATCTAAATGAAATAATAATAAAAAAAACGAAAGAATATTAATCTACAACCCAGTGTGTCTAACGATTTTAATTTTTTATAAATTTTTTTCATTGTTCAAAAATATATATATATATATATTGCACACACACACACACACACACACATATATATATATATATATATATATATATATATATATATATATACCACACAAAAAAATCCAAAATTGCCTCATATGGTGGAGGTGGGTATAGATCTGTTTCAACCAATGAGAAGTTCGTTAGCCTTATTCAGCCCCGGTGTACAGACTGTTCGTGTGGGAATTAGAAATTTAAAATTTAACTTTGAGAGCAGTTGAAAAATTGATACAGAATTATCCATTTCGATGTTTCAAGTCATACGAAATACCCGAGTCAGTGGTAAGGTAAGGGATAAGAGGATTTAGAAAATTAACCACGTTATATGCTCTGTTATAATAAATACATTGAGCTCAAATACAAAGTCGACCCAATTATTTATGGTTATTAATGCGTTTATGTAAATGGTCATTTTAATTCGTGCTTACGATATAGATAGAGCGAGATGGAGCATAAATAATAATAATAATAATAATAATTAGAAATATCTGTGAAAACTTTCCGGTTTTTATAAAGTGTTCTTTCTTTCTTTCACTGAAATCAATTTGTTATATTTCTTCTATCTTCCCACACAAACAAAACTGAATAGTCCATTATTTATGAGATACTGGCAAGGCGTAACGGTCGTGTTAACTAAGGGAAGGTCAAGGCGAATAATAATAATTACATAAATAAATAACATTAAAGATAATTTTAAAATGTTTACTTATCTTAACTCAGAGTCGCACAGATTTTGAAATCTGGGGACAAAAGCACCTTTGATTTATTATCATATATCATATTTTCTTAAAAGACATTATGGCCTAAATTATTTGAATAAATTATTGACTTTCAAGAAAAATATGACACAATCAAATATTTAAGAAACACTTTCGTCGCCTGATGAATGGATTTAAAAATCTGTGTAACTTCAATTAGAGATAAGTAAACATTATTCTGCCTCACTGCCTGTTGCAACTGTTGTGAGTACAGATCTGCAGTGATGTTGCGTCACTTTTAGTCCACCAAATAAGAGCATGATCTTGCGTGGGCGTAGAGGCGGTCATATTATGTGAGGCACAGGGTCCCGTAGTAACAACAAATATCTGGTACGCTTAGGAGTGTCATACGGGACCCACTTTCGTCACTGATGAGCACTTGATCAAATATTGGTACGTTACGGTGCCAATAAATCAACGCGGAACAGACTGTCAATCGTCGTTGTTTATTGCCATCCGAATGTAATTCGGGTACCAACTTGCTCAACTTGTACAACTTCCCCATACGGTGCAGGAAACCAGGAAGCGTCCGGCAAGCTTACCACAGGTTTGGTTGTTATCCTCCTTTATTGAATTCAGGGACTCATCATCCAGGCCCTGTGGCCGTCCATTGCGGGGTTCATCACAAAGGGACATATCTCTCAACTGGAACTTCTGAACCAATGTCTGGCGGTGCATTGACTCACAGCATTATCGCCAAAGACTTGACGTCTTCGGCAACTTGATGTGGCTTCGGACAAGTCCAGCTTAAAGTCATAAAGCAGTCCAAATCAAATGAGCGACGTCGACACCACCAGGTTTCCTCTATGCTGCTCGAGCTATGACTGATGTGTGTGCGCCACGCACACGCATTGGTTAAAAGCGACAATATACTCACCTCATTTCCGGCACGTGACAAACTCATTTGCGTATCAGTGATCACTTATTCCCACACTTTTAAGTTACCTTATCTCACTCTCTCTCCCTCTCTCTCTCTTGATATAGGAAAGGGAGCTGAAAAGTTGTCAGTCTGACCATGTTCTCAAAATATGACCAGCAGAACAAACACGATAATTTTGAGGAAAATAGGATTCTTTGTTAACTTTTCAATTCTTCTTTTTATGCGTGTGTGTGTGTGTGTGTGTGTGTAATA